TCTCGGTAACCGAACACCACAACCTCCAGAGTCATGTGAGGTTGGACCTATGCTACTCGAATGAGACTGATCGAGTTTAGGCTCAATAACCGGAGTGAGTGCAGCGCAAACGCTAAGAATTTTCAAATACAAATCATTGATATTTTCTTGAAGTTTAATGACCTCATCATCATCAATGTCTTCAGATAGTGGATCCGAATTGAATAGTTTGTTGAGCATTGACTCAAATTCAGTATTTTTCTTATTAGCAGTTGTTTTAATAACCTTAATTTTTTCAATCTGAACATCTGAAAGATTATCAGGGCCTATTGTATGAAGCGCAGTGACTTGAGTGTCGAGCTGAGATAGACGAGCCTTAGTGAGTTCCGCTTGCTTGCGAAATGTAGTATACCGCAATGGAGGCATGATGAGTAAGTTAGTTCATGAAGTGCACAAGTTTAGGCCTACCTACTTATTAATTCAATAAGCCTATTTCACAGACTTAATGTAGTCTAAAATTCAGCAAAAAACCTTAAGTTAGCCTAACAATTAGTAAAACATAATAGGCTTACAGTAACTAACTATGGAGCCAGTAAAACATAAATAAAACTCTTCAAAAGAATCAATTGAGTTGTGAATAGGCTAGGCCTATGAAGAAGAGAACATCTACAACTGTGAACCTGTCAGCATAACTGTGTAGGCCTACTTAGCCTAACTATAAAATTGGTTTACAAGATAATCAATTCAGCTGAATATAAATCACAAAATAAAATATAGAAACCTCTTAACTTAATAGGCTATAGGGTATAGATTCAATCAGATTATACAATACTTCCGTTCTCTTTTTTCTCAGTTGTAGTTAGGCTAGGCAACTTGAGTTTATATTCCAACAGCTATATAACTTATGTTTGTTGTTACTAAGGCTTTGAATAGGTATTACTTGTATTTTCTCAAAAGAGGTATATAAAATAGGCTAGTTTGTAGTCAATGTCTAAAAAATATGCAAGCAGTCGTTTAATGAGTTGACTCATCAATTTGAATAAAGTTGAGACACAATGGCTCAAATAAATGTCTATTAATGTAGGCTAGTGAAATGAAATGAATATAATTAAAAGTTAGTCACTATTTATTCACACTGGAACTCAGTTTTAAATCACAACTTAAATCTTGAACACAAGTCACTTGCAAAACTTGACATGAAAATCGACATGAAAACTTTCATGTTTGAGATTGAAAGGAGAAAAGCACATGTTTTACATTACTATTCCATGGACTGAACACTGAAAATCCGGTTTCGAAAGTACCAAAAATGTTATGATTTGGCTGTAATAACCATATACAAAAAGAAAGAGTTTATAAGTGGACTGTATAAATATTAACTGATGTTTGTTACCTTGATGTTGCATTGGTTTTCACTAGGCCTACTCCTCTTCATGTATTTTCCATTTAAAAATTCATTGTCCAGGGGCCCCTTTTTGTGGTCCTCTTCATATTGCATACTGGCAATTTAGTTAAATATATCTTGCTATGCTATTTTATATGTATCTTGCACTGCACTTGATATTAATTTTCACTATGAATTGATCTGATGCTTACTGGCATCAACATGGTTGTAGTAGCACAGTTAAAGTGAGAGAGAGATTGAACTGTACTGAATGATTTTTGGACTGCTTGCATTTACAGGACTGACAACTTAAAAAATGAAATTATCCTGACTATACCAACTTGGTATTATAAGAAATTAAATTAAATATTCTTTCTTGCTTACTAATAATAAATTAGTTATTTTGACAATATCTTTTGTCATGTTAAATAAAATATATAATAAAGTAGTAATTACATGACAAATAGTTCAGATTCACTTTGTAACAAAATATTCAGTTTTAGAGTATTACAGTTAAATATTCGGAGCTATAATAAAAACTTTGATGAGTTTTTAGTTTTATGGCAGGGTCTCCAGATAAAATTCCATTGTATAATTTTGACTGAAGCTAGGTTGAGGAACGACATTGAGCTTACAGCCCTAGAAGGCTATACCCTGTTTAGGACATACAATAGCCTCAATCAATATGATGGTCTGGTTGTGTACTTAGATGACACGTTATTAGCAACATGTAACCAGATTTGTATAGGTGGAGTCGTCACCAGCTTGTCCATAGTTTTTACCTGGGCCAATATTGATTGTGAATTAATCTGCATCTACAGAAGTTCCTCCTCGTCACTAGTTACATTTAACGACTGTCTTCAAACATTTATTAGTACGACAAACAAAGAGTCACTTAACATTATCGCCGGTGACATTAACTGGGACATTCCTAATCCATGTTTAAATTCACAAGAGGAACGATACCTTGACTTGCTTTATGAATTTGGATTTATTCCATGTATAGATAAAATCACGCGGCCAGTTAGTGATAGGCTACATGTATCGACCATTATTTTATAAAACTGCCAAACAGGCTGAATGTCAACACTTTTGTTTTACAAACTTACATTACAGATCATTTTATCGGTTCTCTTGAACTGAAAATCTTTACAGGTATTAGTAACGGCAACAAGTTTACATACAAGAATACTAATTGGAAAAATATAACTGTAACCTTGAAATCTCAAAATTGGCAAAAAGTTTTAAATTCAAATGACTTAGATGCAGCAACTATAGGCCTACATTTCAATTTGATTTTGCAGAATATCATAGAACAAAACACGTCCCAACAAATATTGAGAGCTAAAACGGCTAAATTACAACCATGGATTACAAATGGTCTTCTTACTTCTATCCGCAATCGGGATAAATTAAGTAAAAGAGTTGAGCAAAACCCATTCAACATTCAGCTTCATGCAAGATATGTCAGATACCGTAACTCATTGAAATCGTTACTAAAATGTGCAAAAAATGATAGAAATAAATTAGACGAGTCTCAGGGAAATCCACTAAAATTCTGGGAAATTGTTAATGATGAAGCAGGGCGTCCTGCTGGCAAGCCTAAATTTCCGTTGGAAGTTTTCAGTGTGAACCGGGATACTGCCCCCACCAATGATATTAAACACATTTGTGATATTTTCAACGAATACTATGCCTCTGTTGGATCTCAGCTAGCCGAAGCGCTTCAGCCCGCCGGCCCCTTGGAGGACGATGACGCTGACCACGGCACCGATTCCCAGTTCTCACTAAGGCCTGTCATTGTTGAGGAGTTTTTATAAGTTATAAAAGGTATTAGAGGCAACTCTGCACCGGGATGGGATGGCTCCCTAAAAAAAAAAATTAATAAAAATAATGTAGATTCTCTCATTTTACCAAAATTATACATAATTAACCTTAGTATACGAGAAGGGAAGTTCCCAGAGGTGTTTACAGTCGCAAAAGTCATACCTGTTCATAAGTCTTACCAAAAAACCCTAACAATAAGACCAATTTCATTAATTGCACAGTGTATAAAATTCTTGAAAAATGTGTAAAATTTCAGCTATCGGTTTACCTTGAACAAGAGAAAATTATATGTGATAATTTAGGCTATGGATTTAGACAGAACCGCAGTACATCACACTCATTTGAAATAACCAAATTTATTTCTGAAGAAATAAATAACAAGGAGCGTGTATTGATAACATTTCTAGATTTGGCTAAAGCATTTGATTCCATTAACATACAATATCTAATTTCTAAATTGAGACTAGTTGGCATCGGTGGTCATTCATTAAACTGGTTTATAAGTTATTTAGAAAATTGGTTACAATATGTGTCCATCAACGGTGTTTATAGTGATAAAACTAGCATTGACTATTGAGTATGGAGTGGCCCAAAGTAGTACACTCGGGCCCCTCCTATTCTTAATAGGTATATATTAACCTTTCAAAGGTCAGAATTAAAGGGAAAGTTTTTTGTTTGCTGACGACATGGCCGTGGTATCGTCTGGACGCACTTGGGATGAGGCATATGAACAGGCATCTACAGATATTTATAAAATTAAATGCTGGTTAGACCAAAACACATTAACATAAGTAAATAAACAAAAAGTTTACCAATTTTTTAAGAGTGAAAGTGACCCTAGCCCTAGGCAACTATTTCTTCATACCTGCGGCGACCTTCGGTCAGCGGCTTGTGCTTGTGACGTCATAGAGCGGGTAGAGAAGTACACTTACCTAGGAATTATAATTGATCAAAAATTTCTTTGGGCTCACCACATTCATTGTCTCAAACAACGACTTAGAAAGCTCATATATGCATTTTCTCAATGTGCTGGAGTAGGATTACCACGGATTACGTAGGATAGTTTACTATGCTTACGTGCAGTCTTTGCTTCAATATACTGGCATGGGGCAGTGTCTCGGCCTCTATGCTTGAGCCTCTGGCTGTTGCGCAGAGGTCATTAATCAAAACAGTCCTAAGCAAACCATCGAGATATCCAACAGACTCAGATTTACGTGTTGATGATATAAAACAATTATTTGTAAAAACTCTTTTAGTCTTTATTAGGTTAAACAAAAACAACATTTTTACCAATTTGCAGCATAACTATTCTACAAGACATACAATCAACTTTGGCTACCAATTTCCTAGATTAAATACAACCTCCCTAAAAAGTAACCCATGTTTTTTTCGCCCATATCTTATATCGCAATCTTCGCCACAAATCCTGGTGAGTACATGGCTTGCCAGCATTAGCCGGACGGCTACGCAGGGGCTGGTAAAATCCCCATATAATTAAGCTCATTAGAATAAAAACCTAAACATGTTAGTAAACTGCTGAGACCCTGGCATTGTAGCTACATCTTTCAGTTGCAAATTTTGATCTTTATTTTGATCATTTATCGTTTGACAACAATGAAAGATGGATAATTTTGGAGCCCTGATGGATATGATTATAGCTTGACTGAAGCTGAAACTTTGGTCATCCACTGCAAAGGACAGGTCAGACATGAGATGGAGAATCAGGTTTCGAGGTTTGTATAGTATTTGAAACAACCTTTGTGGCCAATCTCAATGAATGATTTTATAGTCTATTGTTTGTGATTTACAGACTGCAGGCCTGTAACAACGTCAGTCTTGTTTGTTGACGTTGATAATCTGCTTTTCAACACGGAAACCCACCAAATACAGGAGGATTTACATATCCTGACAAGTCTTCTATCGCAGGCACGAGGAGAGCCTCCTCAAATCAGCAGATTTGAGACGCCTCTTTACAGAATTCTTCAGGTGATTGATTGATTGAATTGTAACAAATCTATACCTATGCATGTCAGCTGCAAGTGGGCTCAGAGCCTGTCAAACCTACTATACTTGCATCCTGTCTGAGCCACTCCTAAGGGAGGAGTCTGCCCCTTGTAAAGGTCCATGCCTCATTAAGAGCTGTGCTGTCAGTTATAATGTAGACGGTCTGCAGTCTCCTCAGACCACTTGTCTTTCAATTTACTGTTAAAAACATCGACTTAACATATTTGAATTTAACACTTACCCCAATTATTTTTTGACGTAATGCTAAACATTTATCAGTGCAGAATTAAAATAAACTAGATAATCCGTTGCTCAAAATCGAGCAAAACTGCAACTTCTAATAAAAGAATAAAGAACAAAAACATAAACCTCAAATCAAAGAGTCACTCTAAAGTAATTTCTATGACTGATTATAGAAATATAAAAAGTATTATAAAAGTTATCTACAATATTTAAAATAGATCCGCTCTCATACTCTTTTGTCTATCTCTTATGTACTGTAGGCGAGCGTCCTCTATGAGCACGCAGATGTTAACCACACACTGTAAAGTGAGCTTTTCAGACCTAATGTAGCAAGCTAAATCCCTCTCTTGACGCCAACCAGTGCAACACGTACTAAAGCATTGTTAAATTTAGGGATGGTCAAGTCTCGAAATTTAGGGAAATTTTCAATCTCGTTACACGAGACGAGATTTCTTTTTTGGCCAAGATTTTTATCGAGACGAGAATAAAAAAAAAAATTAAAAACGCCTGCAAAAAGTCAATGCAATACCCGCAATACAGGATCGTGTTGTAGTTGCGTTTCCTTTGCGAAGGCGTTCTTATTTAATTAATTCTTTCAATGTAAATATTACTTTAATTATTTTAATAATATTACTTTAATAACATTTGAGAAGTTTTGTTAAGTGTAAGCAGTGTGAGGAATGTTTTATTACTATAAAAAAAGTCAAAACAAGTAACTATTTTATAAAAATTAATATTGCTTTTATTTTATGATTTATTTTATTTTAGAATAAGTTGAACTCTATCCTAACTGATATCACCATGTTTCCTAATCGTAGGCATTTTTAATAAGTTAGGCGTGATTAATAAAAAAATGTTATGCTGATGTTATTTAAAAAAAGATTGTAAATATTCTTGCCTATTATCATTATTTTTGTATTTAAAGAGTCATCTAACAATGTTACAAAATCAGGTAAAAATTTCGAATGAGCATTTCCCGTTGTGTATGAGAAGAGAAATCTCGTCTCGATCTCGTCTCAAAATTTTATGAGAAATAAAAAATCTCGTCTCGTCTCGTCTCGAACTAAAAATCCAATCTCGTCCATCCCTAGTTAAATTATTTCATTCTACCATATGTTCTGTTTTAGGCGAGTTTAAATTAATGACCCCAATTTAAGTCTCCAGTTTGGAACATAAGAGAATAAGCAAACGGATCTAACGGCAGATATAGTACGGATACCCGTTTAACATTATAATTTTTTGGGAAAACTATAAGATTTATTTGGCCAGGTGGTACTCTGTTTTCAGCTTTAAAAATAGCTGCAACGTCTATACAGGTAGCATCATTGTGGCGAGGGAAGTCAAGATACAAGAACTTTATTGTTAGTAAAATACATAATATGGTACATTAGTATCTCCTAACTCGTCATTTAATCCTAAACATAAACATAATTTAACTTCTTCACCTTCACATCTCTTGATTTATAAACCAGACTTAGTTAACAAATGTTAAAATAAAAAAATACATTCCGGCATTGCTCTGGAAGTAAAAAGCCCTGCAGTCTGCTGGTTAATCCTAAAAACTATTTCAATCTGCATCCAAATGTGTAGTTGGAAACAAAGGGAATTGAGTTTGATCTAATGTCAACAGATAGCGTCGCCGTTCCCAAATTTTAGCCCTTAGCCTAAGCTGGTTAGTGTCCTTGATCAAAGGAAATTGTCAGTTAGCTGAAATTTTAAAGAAAAATTAAGCTTGGTACTTAAAATTGTCTTGATAGTACAGATAAAACATATGTGTGATGTTGTGAAGCTCTAGACCTCAAAACAATTCTTCAAATACGAGGGTAGTTTTTAAGTAAGGGGCGTTTGTGCGTATGACTACTTAGTTTGCGTGTAGCCGGAGCAGGGCTCCTCGCTGCTTACATTACTATCACTTATGAATAGAACGGCGCCATTTGTAGTTCTGTAGCTAAGGTGTACACTTTGGCGTGTCTACATTTATTCATATTTTTTATTACTGAATCCTCTGCCACATGGGAGATAAGGTCAGTGATAAAATGTTTTTTGTTTGGAAGAAACGTATCGGATGCAGACATTCATTGCCAGAAGCTTATGGCTCTATTACAATGAGAGGGTAAGTTAAGTAATGGATTAGGGAGTTTTAAAACGGCCGTAAAAATGTCCATTTTGGAATCAATTGTGGGTTTTGTGGGTAACCAGACTTCTCACAGAAGACCACAAAGGAAAACGATTTTCACAGCAATTCTTATACTCCTTAACCCATTTTTGATCTTTACCCTCACTCATTACATTAAGGCTATAACCTTCAGTCATCTGGCGAAGAATTTCAGCATCGGATATGTTTCTTATAGGCAAAAAACATATCACTGACCTTATCTCGCATGGGGCAGGAGATTCAATGATTTAACAAATTTTCACAGTGAATCATACACGTCAGCTACAGATCTGCAAATGGCGCCATCAGTAAGGGGTGAGGAGCTATGGAACTTTACACAAAAACGGCCCTTAAAAACTTACCTCGTTTTTAATGTAGACAGTGTTGTTTGCCATGAAAATGTACAAGTGAATTTTTTTTCAGAATTTATTCGATGGGCAACGCTGTTCACTAATTTTCTTCTGCATTTCACCAAGTTTCAATAGTTGCACTAGTAATGCGCCGTACATAGCTCTTCTGTCAAGCATATCTGAACTGAAATACACAAATGTAAATCTGAGGACCCAATGTGAAAATCAAAGGTAAGTCTATCGATTATCAGCCAAGTTATTATGAAGTGTATACATTGTGATTTTTTTTGCACAATAGTTAAGCCAAGAATTCACATGTAATTTTTAAATCTAGATGGTTCCAGCGTAAAAAAATGAAGATCAGTATAATTTAGATAAAGAGGATCTATCAATCTAATGACTCGGTTTTCAAGAGTAGACTTTAGCTTAAACCTGTGGTGTTTAAGGTGTTCTTGAGTCTTGAGTATCTAATACTATACTAGGGACCAAGTAGTTCTCTCAGAGCTTATTTAACCTATTAGTATTCCTGCCAAGTTTATTGTTCTGAATACACTGATTTGCAGTATTTTAGACTTACGCCTTGTTCAGTTGTAAAATTGTTCTCAAACTTGTACTTTTAAATCATTGCATACTATTTCCATTGTTTGCAGTGTTCATTTTTGTTCTGTACTATTCTTTTCCTTCTTGAGAAGGGTTTCCCTGGCTTACTCTATATCAGAATAAAATGTACTTCAACACATAAACAGATGAATTCTTCTATATGTGATTTGTTACATATTGGCTAAAAAGTACAAAACTATGAGTATGCATAAGGCATGTTGAACTATCACTACAAACTAGAGGAGTGCGGATATCCGAAAAATCGGGTCAAATTCAGTTCAGTTTGGATATCCGTTCCTGAACTGACTGTCCGTATCCATATAAGCAGCTTATAGTAATATACGTTATTGGCGTCCACCGAAATCTCGGAAAGATTCAAATTCAAATTTGTGGTGATTCCAATACAGATTCCTAACTCGTCTGCGAAGATCGCGCTATCCGAAAATTATCGCTATTCTGATGATACTGATTGCTGACTCTTCTACTAAAATCGCGCAATTGGAAATATACCGCTATTCCGATACCGATTTTTGACTTTTCTAACAAGATCTAATATCTAATCAAATATAATATCCTTTTCAACTAAACAATCAAAAACAGCATTGAACCTAACATTTTTATAAAAACAGACAAAATTGTTCAGGTAAACCAAACAAAGTTTCTGGGACTGGTCATTGATGAAAATCTATCTTGGGATAGTCACATAAACCTTGTTGTAAATAAATTATCCTCTGACATTTATGCCTTGCGGCTGATGTCCAAGGTTTGCAACTTTGGGTTTGGAAACACTTAGGATAATCCATTATTCTTTAATTCACTCTCAGATATCCTATTGAATCGCTATTTATGGAGCAACAACTAAGGCAAATTTGAATAAAATACTTATAAAACAAGAAAACGCTATTAGAATTATCATGAAATTAAAAAGGAAAGATTCAGTTAAAAATATTTTTCCTGAATTGGGTGTGTTAACAGTTAACATTTTGTATACAGGGTTAGGCAAAAGTCTGGAACCCCCAGCTAACTTTTTAACGCGTTGCAGTAAGAAAACCAAACTCGGTACATATTTTTTAACATAAGAAATTGCCCTTTTTCATCAAAGTTACAACTCTGCCCCAGCCCCAAAATGGGGTATTATGGGGGCAGCCCCAATTTTTCAAATGTAAACACCTATCATGTGACCCCTGATTTTAAAGGGTTTATCAAGAGAAATTGAATGGCACAAACCAGAGGTCAATATCACACCCCTAATCAAAATGGCAGCCATTTTAATTTTTTAAGATTAGCAAGCAAGATAAAGTCTGGACACCCCCAGTTAACATAACACAGCTGACAACAAAATGAGGAGGAATTTGGGGGTAAAAATAGCTTAGGAGCATTCCCAGGATGAGTTGCGTGAAGTGTAGAGCTGGACACGACTGCCGACACCCATTATGCATATTTATATTAACAAACACTACAAGTGTGGAGGAAAACTCCCCAAGCGTCCGCTCGAGGGTTAACTACCGATCCGCTCAAAACCTAGCCAAGCCTTTACTATCCGATCCGAACTGAAATTTCACTATCCGCACACCTCTACTACAAACTTATATAATCAAAACAGTAGGAGGTCCACTGTATATGAATTTTGAAAGAAATATCAACAAATGGCTGGTCATAACATTTTGTAGTTGCTATTTGTTATTTGAGAAATGTATTTTTGCTGACACAAGAATTTTGTTAAATGTGAAATATTGTTCTCAGGGAATCCCAGCAAGAACATCCCGTCCAATTGTTAGAGTGTATAGGTAAGTCTTACAATACTTACTGTTTGTATTAATTTTGTTGTTAAGATCATTATTACTTATAATAGATATGTTTTTAAAGGCCCACTCTTAAAAATTACCTCAAACAATCTTTTTGCAATTGGAGTGAAATGATTAACATCTCAACTACTTTACTTGATCTAATCTCTGTATATAAACATTTTAGTAATCTAGCTTCTGCAGTCGCAATGACGTCTACGACATTGATGCAATATAGGCCTATGTGGTGAGATCTTAACTTGTAATTCTAGATGGATATATCTTGAAACGAACATTGAAGAATTGAAAGGCTATTAAATTCTCAGAAAGATTTTGCCTGACCAACAATGCTTCTCACCTTCTGCAGGTTGAAGATGGTGCCATGTGTATCTGTCATATAGAACTTGATCTCCTAAGTGACATTTTTCTGTTTGGTATTCTCAGACTGTTCTCTGATTATCGAATGCTCTTCTTTTCATTCTTGTCCTGTGCATTTCAATTTCTATAATGTCTGGTCTGCTTCAGTCCCTTATCTCTTTTCTTCTAATTTGCAATACATCTTGATCTTACAAACATTTTGCTCTACTATATTTTAAATCACAATTAACCTATGTCGGTCTTCGATTAATGCCCATGATTCCGATTCAGTAGTAGGCCTACTGAATAATAAATTTGTATCGTGATATTTAACGTTTAAATGTTTTTCAAGAAGCAGTATGTGATTTAAACTGCAGTTAAACTAGTTTTATTTCATGTTCTGTCAATTGTTGTAATGACTACTCCAAGGTAGACTCTGGCTCATTTACTATGGTCCTTTATACACTTATGTCCACCATTTCATAATGTTTCTTTAGTTGGATTTCTGAGATTCTCTTGGTCTATTTTCGGCTATCAATGCTATATCATCATTAAATGGTAAATAGTAACTTTTTTCAACACTGTTCCTGTTTAATACTTCTAAATGTATCCCCTCTTAGAAGTTAGGATAGGAAGCACCAGCCAACACCAACTTTATTATCAATGGGCTTTCTTCTTTGTTCCACAAAGGATTCTTTCAAAATGTTCAGTTTCAATTTTGAAGTTTTTTAGCCTCTTTTTTAATCTCTTCCTCCAGGAAAGTCACCTCCTTCAGCTATTTGATCTGAAGCTTGTATGTTTTGCACCTTCCGGCTACAGTATAGACCTTTGGAACTTCCCGATTGGAGTATTTTTATGCCATACCTGATAAGCGTCGAGGTAGGCCTAGGCTAAAGATTCACTCTCAAATACGTCCGCCCACCACAGTTTGTTGTTGCATGCATGCATGCAATCTCTTTTGGAAAGGTTCACTTAAGATGTTTTACACTGACATTGCGCATGATAATAGCTTCCAAAACATCAAATATGTGTCCCATCAAGATGAGTTTAGTGATCCCTATTTCATCAGGCATGCTTCCTACTCCATCCATTGTGATCCATTGTGAGGAATTTGATTTGTGTTTGGGATTTTTCTTTATCATTAAAATTTCCCCAGATAATTCAGGGTGTAGGTATCTGAATATCCAGAGGTCTAAGTCTCGATTCCCTTATATATCTTGAGATTTAAGCTCAGTCCACAGCTCATGCCTACAATGGACTCCCTTCGAGATGTCCACCTCGAGATATCGAATCTGGACTTGGAAGCTGTGGCCTTTACATTCAAATTCTCGTGGAAACTTATGTTTACCAAGGCCCTATCTACTGACTTTAGGTTAGAACAACTATCCATTACCATAACTGGAGTGTGGTGACTTATTTGGTCATGGGTTGGTACTTATCGCAATCTGTAGTCCAATGCCCAGTTCATGAGATTTTTGACTTTCTTTACTAGTTAATCTATGTACTTCTTATCTCTACTGTATCAAGTCTTATAGCGTAGATCAGATGGTAGACTTTGTTGAGGATCATTTGGTCTTGTACTTCGAAGGGAGAGAGTAGATGCTCATAATTTATAAATCTCCATCGATGAGCGTTATGGAAATGTTTGTCTTTGATCGATTGACAATAAGATGAGATCAATTTCAGTATCAAATTTCTGATATTGTGCTGTATTTGAATTATCCAATGATCCTCCATGTTTTTGCTGTCTTTGGAAGAAAACCGCTGATTCAGTCAATACCTTGACTTGTTTATTAAAATTAGATCATCATTCTTTATTTCAACACCAAACTTGACCTCTATATCATTTAAAAAAAATATAAAAAATTGGAACCTGTTCGAATCAAGTTGATATCCGAAACAATACTACCAAGACTAATTGGGACCCCCCAGTTAAATGTTAAAAACATATTGATAAAATAAAAGGATTACCTTATCCAACCACAGTTGCTGGCATGAACACTTGTTTTGTTCCTTAGAACTTCGTCAGGTCATTGTATGCAACCACATCATCAATGTATTAATTCATTGTGGTATGTCAGAAGATTCTTTAAAACACTGTCAGAATCACAATAGTCAAAACTAGTCATGTTGATCAAATGATTAAAATGGAATAAAAAGTTACAAAACTGGTTAAAACTGTAAAGGCTGGCCAGCACTGTCTTATCATTGTCACTGACTAAATAAAACTGACTGAATCATGAGGTGTTTTCTTCTCTTCAGAGCAGGTGGCACTGGAGAGAAGAAAACAGGTAAAGTAGCGTAATCAAATCGTGTAATTATCCTTAACGACACTCGTAGAAGTTTTAAATTCACTCGCCAAGGCTCATACCTTAAATTTTCTACTTGTGTCGTCAAGACTATACTTATGTGGTGGTTGCGTACACTACTATCAAGCAAAACCAATAGGACAAGGCTTGCCATGTTCTACTAAAATTTTAATACTAATTACTCACACGTGCTTGACACATTTACTGTGTCCTAATTCTGATATCAGTTGTTATATTTTTTTTTAATTTGTCTGGTAATGGTATCCATTACAAAACCAAACTGAACAGGAAATATATAGCATGAGCATGCATGTGTGTTTTAATTTGCATGATACCTACACTTTTTAAATGTTTATTCTTATTTATTTATCATTATTCTTATATTTATATATTATTTATTAATTTTGTGTGTGCATTTGACACCAAACATGTTGGATTTCAATTTTGTTGTGGTTATTATGCTTTATAAGGAGTTTTTTTTAGACGATTAGTCCTTTAAAAGCAGTTTAGTATTATTTTTCTGATACACTTTTTAAATGTGTTTGTTTTTAGTTTGTTTTATTCTTATTTATATATATTATTATTCTTATATTTATTTCTTATTTATTTATTTGTGTGTGCATTTGACACAAAATATGTTGGATTTCAATTTTGTTGTTGTTATCATGCTTTTTAAGGAGTTTATTTTAGAAGATTAGTACTTTAAAAGCAGTTAAGTATTATTTTTAATACTTATAATAAATTACAATTATATTTAATTCACACACTTGAATAATGTGTGAATAATGTTTATTTTTAGCTGCAATTTTTTATGGTGGCTTAATCGAGCTGTATAAGTATTCAAAGTTGTAACTCCACCAATTGGACATTGCTTCAAGTTTCACAAGGAATTTTGTTTGAAGTACATAGGTAAGTAAAGCTAACAAAGGCAACATCAGTGTGGGAACAACTCTATGGCTATGTATTCATTGAAAACACATGTTTCATATCTTAAAAACAGTGTAGTTAACTTTTAGTTCCTCATCGTTAGATCAAATTTGCCCAACAGTATATTAGAAACTAAATGAACAATCTCTTGAGATTTGTAAAAAAAAATCAGAGATCATTTAGATACTTGTCAAGACACATTTTAAGAAGTAGTTTTCCAAGTTTAAAGATGTTTCCTTTTTTGGCATGCAGACTTAATTTTTTGCATCATACACGTGTTTTACCAAATAGATTTGTAAAACATTTTCTTACATACTGATCTTCTAGCTTGTAGGTATTAAGAAAAGTTTTGTGTTAAATAATTTTCAGAAGAAGTAACTGAGAGCGAAGAAGAAATTGCAAGTTCCAACGGGAAAATGTCCGAATCTCTCTCCCAAGACAATTCCCTGTCTGAAAGTGACAGAGAAGACGGCGATGTTAATATGTGTCAGTTATCTGATAATAATTTCAGCAATAGCCTCAACGTCATGTGTGACAAATTTAACATGTTTGTTGACAAATTTGTTGACAGCTTTAAAGCCAAGACGAGTTTGTCGCCAGTTAAAGAAAGAAAACACGACTATTCTTCGACAAGGCGAGGTGAGCCACTGTATTTAGTTAGATCACAAACAAACTCACCTGAATTTTAGCCCCACTCAGTAGCACTGTTTTATATTCTCATTGGGCTAAATTTTGAATACAAAAAGCTTGAAATATATGTATTATCCATACAGTTATGTTATATTTTACAATCATTTAGTTTTTTCTATATTGACTTTGACACACAGTACCTTAATAATATTAAAGGTGTTTTTTCTAATTTACTATAGCTAAAGCCACACAATATGCAATATGCTTTGCATTGAAATAATACCTAATCCTTAAATTTAAAACTTAATCAGTTCAGTGGACCATAAAGATACAGGAAAGTGTCGATTATCTGAAACAATTGGGGTAGAGGGGTGCTTGGATAATCGGTTTTTCGGATAGTCGGAAATCAACGTAAAATGGCTTTATTTCTTTGTTAGGTGTAACTGAAATCCCTCAATCTTGGCATCAAGTGTTTAATTTGAGCTACAAACAACATTTTCGATCATTGTAGAAACTTTAATTTACTAATTAACATACCGAAATTGTCAGTACTGGTAGTGATTTCGCCGAGATCTTCGGCAAAACTGACCACATCATATCACCATTATCATCTTCAGTTACTTTACATAGAGCAATAAAACATAGCAACCTCAGCAAAGCATAGTATAATGTACATGCTTCAATTCTCAATGTTCAGCACATACGCAAACTTTGTAATAAATGCACTACTTTTTAATGTCAGTGATTCTCGATTTCCCAACTCACAACTCAACAAGCTAAGATTGAACGCACTTTAACTTTTTTTTTACCGTTTTTCAGCAGATCTAATATTTTAAGTTTGTCAGTAGGGATGGACGAGATTGGATTTTTAGTTCGAGACGAGACGAGACAAGATTTTTTATTCCTCATAAAATTTCGAGACGAGATCGAGACGGGATTTCCCTTCTCATATACAACGGGAAATGCACGTTCAAAATGTTTACCTGATTTTGTAACATTGTTAGATGACTGTTTAAATACAAAAATAATGATAATAGGCAAGAATATTTACAATCTTTTATTAAAAAACATCAGCATAACATTTTTTTATTAATCACGCCTAACTTATTAAAATAAATCATAAAATAAATGCAATATTAATTTTTATAAAATAGTTAGGTACTTGTTTTGACTTTTTATAGTAATAAAACATTCTTCACACTGCTTACACTTAACAAAACTTCTCAAATCTTATTAAAGTAATATTATTAAAATAATTAAAATTAAAGTAATATTTACATTTAAAGAATTAATTCAATAAGAACGCCTTCGCAAATGAAACGCAACTACAACACACTCCTGTATTGTGGGTATTGCATTGACTTTCTGCAGGCGTTTTTAATTTTTTTTTCTCGTCTCGATATAAATCTCGGCCAAAAAAAATCTCATCTCGTGTAACAAGATTTAAAATTTCCCGAAATTTCGAGACTTGACCATCCCTATTTGTCAGGTATACCAAGTACAACACATTTCCTTTTTCCTAACATAGCCATAGCCTACTGTATCAAAAAGCAAACAAAAAACAAAAAAATGCCACATACTTGAAACAATGATCACTGATGTCAATGACGCAAAGCGAGGTTATGTGTGTGATACTTCTGTGACACCATGATCACCATGTTGCTGAGTTTTGCGTGAAGTGTTGTACTGCCTGCACTCCTGCAGGCTGCTCTCGTAATGTTAGCGTGGTGGTAAATTTAAATTTACATCTTTGGCGGCAATTTCGGTTAACCGACGTTTCGGTTAACCAGCTTTTGGATTATCGGCGCTGAATTGTATTCCTCTACACCCAAGTCAATGAGAATATAAAAGTGTGCTCACTTATGTATATAGTGAATGTGCGGTGTTTTTGGTTTGTCATATTTTATTATAGTTCTGTGCATGTATTATGTGTATTATGTTATTATGTATTATATGTATTATGCTATGTGATGCTTAAAGGATGTTTTGTGGCGGGTAGCTACTTGTAGATGAAGTTAAAACTAGTGATTGTCAAAACCAGAAATTTCAAATACCAAAAACCAAAACCAAAACTTAAAATTAAAAAGAAAAAACACAAATTTTGAATTTCGATAAGTAAACGTGAACACTTTTTTACTTGCCTGGTTAACCCATTGGCACCGACTTACGAGTGCCGCTAGTGTCACCGCTACGCAGCGCAATTAGTTATTTATTTTACTAGTTTCTCCCCTTTTTGTTTCTTCTTACATGTTTATAAATTTCTTGTTTTGCGTACTTACTCATTTATTTTTGCGAATAAAAAACAATGTTGTGTTGCCATGGAAACCAGATATCACAAAAAATCAGCTGCGGTAAGGTAAACAAACAATTTTTTTTCTTAGTTATTATTTATAAAAGTACAAAACATGTGATTTTTCTACGTTAGAAATCAATTTAACTTAATAATAGTAGTGTCATTTGGTGTCTGGATTAATCTTGGCATTTGTAAATCAAGTTTACTTCCAAAAAACTGTTTGAAAAATGTTTATTTTTATAATCTTCATAATTTTATTTTTTTACTATCAAATCACCACTTTTTATATACAATTTTACTGTGAACAAAATGGCTAAAGATTTATTAATTTATTGCCTAAGGTCAATCAATCAATCATTGAGATGGGGCCTCCTAGGTGCGTATTTTAACCCAAATATGAGTGAGGGATGAGTGTAGAATGGTGTGTGATGACCTGTGTTGAGCTTTGTTACTGACTAAGTTCTGCGGTTTCATTAGTCATGATCATTTATTTAAAGCCCAATGATCAGGAACATTCTATAACTATTAAAGTTCAAGTCTAAAGGCGGTGACACACTATCAATCTTTTTCTGATCCAAGCAGGGAGAAGGGAGGTAAATATAAGCAAAATTTCAATCCGAACAATTCTCCGAACATGACCAAGACTAGACAAGTTCTACCGAGTGCGGCAAACGGGAGTTTAGAGAGAGAGATGGAAAATTTGATGATTTATTAGTTTATCCTGCCCTGGCTTAGACCGAAGGCCCACTCTTCCGCCAGGACAGGCTCCACAATTTTACAACGTTTTTTTCAAATTACAAACTGTTTAGGTTTAACCACTTTATATAGAAAACACAAATATAACCTATTATACTATATTCTTATTTAAAAAATAAAATTAAAGTAATCCACACATTACTTTCTAAATAATACAACACTTAAAAGAAAATATCGTTTCAGTTATACGTTTCGTTATTTTATGGAGAGCGTGTGTGAGTGAGAGAGCGGAGGCAGTAATAATAAAACATGAAATAACATGTTACAGAATGATAATAATTTTAATTGCCTTTAATAATATTTATGTTTATATTAATTTTGAATGAATTTAGGTATAACATCAATTACTTAATTCAAGTCAAACATTATTGGTATCATTGATTTAATGGTTGCAACTTGTAAACTACATTTTCATCCTTGACCAAACAAACCACCAAATTACAGCATAAATGCCCATAATACAACGGCAAAACATTACCCAACATTTATTTATTTTGCCAATTAAAGAGTTTAATTGCCATATTAAATTAGATCTATCAACGCTAGCGCAGGTGGCTGCTCGGTGCGGCGCTCGCGACGGCGTACGGGGCAAAAATATACCGTGACACACTATCGTACATCACTCCGTACATCAGACCGATCTCTTCTTTGATCTATTGCCAAAAAAAACCGCCTCCAGAGCGCTCGCCTCCCTGCTCGGCCTGTTGTCTGGTTCGCCGTCTGGATCGGTGTACGAAACTGTGACACACTATCGAACATGCTCCCTTCGACCTCTCTTCCCCCTTCTCCCTGCTCGGTACGGGGTCTTGATCGGGGAAAAGATCGATAGTGTGTCACCGTCTTAAAAATTCGGTAAAATTAATTGCCGAAAGAGGGTGCTGCAGATAGCACATTAACTCTTTCCCCAATGGGTTGAGGTTAAAAAAAATCAGTAATAATAATATGTTTATTATGCAATCAAAACTGGAGGAAATTGTACTCCTGACCCTGACATAATCATTAATAACATGAATATGTGAATAATAATATGCTTAAAACAAAAAATACCCTCACTGCATCAAACCTACAGACTAAGCAAATTTCCATTTGGATGATTTGATTTTTGCTAAAATATTTCCTTTGAATTGTCAGATTTATTCACTTTTCTCAAAGAAAACTAGGTTTTGATGGGTTCAAGCTGAGTTAAGCTTTTAAGGTGTGTTTTTTAAATGTCAATAGATTAGTATGAAATGAAAAAAATTCAAAATTTGATTAAAATATATCCTTAAACAAGCGAACTACAACAGTTTACTTATTATCTATGAGAGTAAGATGAGAATTTTAAGTTCCAAGCTTTATAACCCCTCCATAATCATTTAGAGTCCAACAACGCTTATATATACAAAATTATTTGTTTTTTAAGGAGTACAAAATTGTTTAGAAAGTAATTGCAAAGTTTCTTGATAAAAAAAACAACCGAGTTATGCTATTTTTTGTGTGTGTGCATATTAGTTTTTATAAAACTATCATATTGGTTCAGTGATTCACATTGTTGCAGACCATATAGCCAGCGTACACTGACCTACACTTATTAGTAAAGTTGGTTGATAGTTACAAAACATTCTGTATACAAATGTTAACCATTTGTGTTTTTGGCCTCTGGGGACCTCAAAACAAAAAAGTATATCGGTCCGGGTCTAGACCATGAGACACGGTAATAGCTTATTCTTTATATGGGAAATTGGCTAAAACACATTTTTTATTAATAACACACACTAAAATAAATAAACTCCTGACACTTACATGGGAACATGAATGAGATGAATGCTTACTTCAAACTAAACTTTAATATCATAACTTGATAAACAAAAACACTGTAATAAATTAAACTCCTTTTTGAAGTTTTGAATCTCAAAACAAAACTTTTCCAAAGATGTATTGGTTTTGACACATTACTAGTTTTAATATACAGGGTCTTAAA